TCAACAACGGCTTCTCCAATGGTTTCGTCGAAGACATCATAAGAAGGAAAGTGAAACGCCATGCAACCTCTGAAGAGACAACTAACACAACACCTATACCCCCTATTAGACTATTTTACAGGAACTTCTTTTCCACAGCTCATAAAACGGAGGAAAGGGTCCTGAGAGATATTGTTAATAGAAACGTTATCCCTACAGACAAAAATCAGAGGATACAACTGACGATTTACTATAAAACCAGAAAAACGGCCAGCCTACTCATGAGAAACTCTCCAGACACAAAGCAGAACGCTTAAAAAGAGACCAACGTCGTCTATACCTTCAAATGCCCTCTTGGGGATTGTAAGCTCCAAAAAACCCAGTATATAGGCAAGACAACATCTCTTTCTAGGCGTTTAACGATGCATAAGCAAAAGGGCTCCATTAAGGAACATATAATCTCTTCCCACAACCAAACCATCGCCAGAGAAATCCTTGTAAACAACACAGAAATCATCGATAGATACAGCGATAGCAGACAGCTTGACGTTTGCGAGGCACTACACATTAAAAAGTCAACACCAGCAATCAACAGCCAACTAATGCACAACTATATTCTACCCACCTCAAGACTCTGCTCCAATATAGAAGCATCAAGAAATATGGACCAATAGGCTTTCTACAATCACTTCCATTCAATACCCATTGTTTCGTGTTCTGTCTTGTGTTGATGAAATTAATACCCTATTAAAACCACCTCACCCCATCCACCTCACTCAAATGTAGATATAAACAAATCGGAGATGTGTAAGTTCTATTCAGTTGTGTATGTGTTAACTAAAGTCTTTGAAAATGTAATAAGTTTTAAGAAACGCGCTCAAGTGTCGCGTCAGACTAGAAATAAAAATGAATTTTGGAGAATGATTTTTGAATTACCACCAACAGTGAAAAGAAATGTACGAAAGATTGAGAAAATCCGTGTTAGAATTACTAATCTTACTTTTTCGGTCATATTTAATAATATATATATATATATATATATATATATATATATATATATATATATATATATATATATATATATATATATATATATATATATATATAATGCAAAAAAAGCAAAAATGCTTTCAATCTGGTTAGAAGGGATGCAGTACTCAGTGCAGTTCATCGCCTTTTTCCTTCCCTCTACCCGTTTGTAAACTCATGCTACAGCAAGAATCTAACTCTGCTTTTTGGGGAACATGAAATTGAATCACAAGAAGGTGTCCAACAAGGTGACCCCCTTGCTCCTTTTCTGTTCTGCCTAGTTATCAAGGAAGTCACCGATAACCTGTCCAGTGAGCTCAACATTTGGTTTTTGGATGATGGTACTCTAGCCTTGGCGTGCGCACAGCAACACAAATTGCTGTACCAGCGTTCCTGTCCTCTTCAGTGGGGTCTGACAACTTGGTGAAGGAAATCTTACCTGAGCACCTAGTTCAACAGGCTGGGGTACATGATCCCAGCTTCACAGACTGCACAACCAAATGGGTCTCTCTCGCAGGACCAGCACCCCAACCACCGCCTTCTGAAGCCCATAAGCAATCCAGCTGGGATCGCCCCATTGCCGACCAAGAAGCTGCAACTTTGCTAGAAGATGCGACAACACCACATGACACTGCCCGACTTAGAGCTGTAGCAGCTCCCCATGCAGGTGATTTCCTATTAGCAACCCCAATGTCAGCAACCGGCACCCGTCTCACACCGCAGGCCCTCCGAATTGCCGTGGCTCTCCGTCTAGCTGCCCCAATCCACACCGAATACAGGTGTATTTGCGGCGAGGCAGAGGCCGACAGATATGGACGGCATGGCCTTCTTTGCCAAAGGACGGGAGGATGGCATGCAAGACACGGCGAGGTTAATGACATTATTAAGAGAAGCCTTACCACAGCCGGTTGTCCAGCAGAGAGAGAGCCCCGTTACCTAATGTCCCGCAACTCTGATGAGCCTGTCGGTCGCCCAGACGGAATCACGGTGAACCCCTGGAAGAATGGTAGACAGTTGGTGTGGGACTACACTTGCGTTTCAACTTTAGCCAATACCTATGTTGACTTCAGTGCTACACAAGCAGGAGGAGCTGCCAATCACCGGGAAGCGGCCAAGTCACGTAAATACAGAGACCTTGAGCACCACTACAATTTTGTCCCCATTGCCTCAGAGACACTTGGTGCCTGGGGTAAAAGTGCTGCTAGCTTTTTGAAGGAGTTGGGGTCTAAGCTAATCAAAACAACTAGAGACCCTAGAGCTGCCAGTTTTCTTTTTCAGCGCCTTAGTGTGGCAATCCAGAGAGGAAATGCTCACTGCATCCACGGTTCCTGCCCGCCATCTGAGGAGCTGGAAGAGCTGTACAACTTGTGACAAGCAGCCTTGTACCCTGCATGTAATCAATATTGTAACTTTTTTTGTGTAATGACATTTTCAAATAAAGTTAGATAAATATACACACTTAACAAAAGAATAGGGGTGGTAGGAGAAGAAAATATCAAAGTGTTCAGTGAGGATCCACAAGGTCTTCTCTGAGTACTCTTTATTTTCTTCTCCGAGGCTATGGGTCCCTACACTTGCACCAGAGGTGGTACCCTTTAAAATATATATATATATATATATATATATATATATATATATATATATATATATATATATATATATATATATATTTTTATAAAATATATATATATATATATATAATGTCGTACCTAGTAACCAGAACGCACTTCTCAGCCTACTATGCAAGGCCCGATTTGCCTAATAAGCCAAGTTTTCCTGAATTAATATATTTTCTCTAATTTTTTCTTATGAAATGATAAAGTTACCCATTTCATTATGTATGGGGTCAATTTTTTTATTGGAGTTAAAACTAATGTAGATATATGACCGAACCTAACCAACCCTACCTAACCTAACCTATCTTTATAGGTTAGGTTAGGTAGCCGAAAAAGTTAGGTTTGGTTAGGTAAGATAGGTTAGGTAGTCGAAAAAACATTAATTCATGAAAAATTGGCTTATTAGGCAAATCGGGCCTTGCATAGTAGGCCGAGTATGAGGTGCTGGCTACTAGGTACGACATATATATATATATATATATATATATATATATATATATATATATATATATATATATATATATATATATATATATATATATATATATATATAATCTTCTGAACCTTCTACCATGTAAGAAGAAACAAATATAAAACGAGATGAAGAAGGTTGGCTGTGTATTTCTGGACTACCAAAAAGCCTTTGACACAGTACCTCTCACGAGATTACTACACAAACTTGAGAGGCAGGCGGGAGGAAGTGGAAGAACATTGATAATGTGTCAGAAAATACCAGACAGGAGTCTTAAGAGTCACAGTCAGGGGCAAGAGTACTGGCGTAGAGTAACGAGCGGAGTGCCTCAAGGATTGCTGCTGGGTCCCACGCTATTTCTCATTTATTTCTTATCTACAGGAGTTGAGTCGTGTATATATCGATTTAATTTTTTTTAATTTTGCCCCGAGGGGCGAGTTTATTGGGCAGCGCCACTCATCTTGTGAGTGAACATACCGCCATACCTTGAGGCTACCTTGAGGTGCTTCCGGGGCTTAGTGTCCCCGCGGCCCGGTCGTCGACCAGGCCTCCTGGTTGCTGGACTGATCAACCAGGCTGTTAGACGCGGCTGCTCGCAGCCTGACGTATGAGTCACAGCCTGGTTGATTAGGTATCCCATAGCAGGTATGCCATAGCAGAATGTACAACACTCCCTGTTATCTGACAATGAAAAATTATAGAGAAGACTTGAGGCAAATGAGGAGTGTACGATTCTGCAAGGTGACTTCTTGAGGTTATCTTGAGATGCTTTCGGGGCTTTACTGTCCTCGCGGCCCGGTCCTCGACCAGGCCTCCACCCCCCAGGAAGCAGCCCGTGACAGCTGACTAACACCCAGGTACCTATTTTACTGCTAGGTAACAGGAGCATAGGGTGAAAGAATATCTGCCCATTGTTTCTCGCCGGCGCCTGGGATCGAACCCGGGACCACAGGATGACAAGCCCAGCGTGCTGTCCGCTCGGCCGACCGGCTCCCCGCATCAAAATGCGACGCTCTATTAGGAAGCCAGGTTGCTCAACGACCCTACCCGCTCATCCAAACTTTCCCAACTATACGGAACAATGTCGTGTGGGGGTGGGGGGGGGGGAGTGTTGCAACCGCTAGAGCAGTTGCAACACCGCTAGAGTTGCAACACAGCCATCAGTCTTGCCACAGTGGGCCGGGAAACAGGGAAATGCGACTCTCGCGATAACAGGTCGAGGAGCAGGAAAGACGGGAGGAACAATGTTCAATGTACAATGTTCAATGTTCAATGTTCAATGATGTTCAATGTTCACTTCCTGTCAATGACGTGAAGTGAAACAATGAACGCGACTAAGGCGAGGATAAACAGACAGAGCAGATAAGCGGACGGACAGAGAGAATGGTAGAGAAAGACAGACAAGAATGGATAGATACAGACGGATACCTGTCCACTATGAGGGAGGGATACCACCCACCCAAGAGGTGGCACGGGCACGAATAGCCCGTAAATATGATGACCAAAGCACACGCCAGAAGGTGAAGGAAACGACAACGTTTCGGTCCATCCTGGACCATTACCAAGTCGTGTGTGGTTCAGGATGGACCGAAACGTCGTCGTCTTCTCATCTGAGTTGTGGTTTGGTCATTACATCTTCAGCCATGTTATTGTGACATAACTATTGTTATTGTGGCGTTGTTGTGGCTCAGCAACCTTCCCTGTCCCCCAGGCCTCCCCCCCCCTCACCCGTCTCCTCGTCCTCCCCCCCATTCCCCCCCCCCTCACCCGCCTCCTCGTCCTCCCCCCCATTCCCCCCCCACCTCACACGTCTCCTCGTCCCTTCCACCATTCTCCATTCCCCCATCCCCTCGTCCCCACCATCCCACTGATCAACAGACCAGTGCCACTGATCAACAGACCAGTGCCACTGATCAACAGACCAGTGCCACTGATCAACAGACCAGTGCCACTGATCAACAGACCAGTGCCACTGATCAACAGACCAGTGCCACTGATCAACAGACCAGTGCCACTGATCAACAGACCAGTGCCACTGTACAACAGACCAGTGCCACTGTACAACAGACCAGTGCCACTGATCAACAGACCAGTGCCACTGATCAACAGACCAGTGCCACTGATCAACAGACCAGTGCCACTGATCAACAGACCAGTGCCACTGATCAACAGACCAGTGCCACTGATCAACAGACCAGTGCCACTGATCAACAGACCAGTGCCACTGATCAACAGACCAGTGCCACTGATCAACAGACCAGTGCCACTGATCAACAGACCAGTGCCACTGATCAACAGACCAGTGCCACTGATCAACAGACCAGTGCCACTGATCAACAGACCAGTGCCACTGATCAACAGACCAGTGCCACTGTACAACAGACCAGTGCCACTGATCAACAGACCAGTGCCACTGTACAACAGACCAGTGCCACTGTACAACAGACCAGTGCCACTGATCAACAGACCAGTGCCACTGATCAACAGACCAGTGCCACTGATCAACAGACCAGTGCCACTGATCAACAGACCAGTGCCACTGATCAACAGACCAGTGCCACTGATCAACAGACCAGTGCCACTGATCAACAGACCAGTGCCACTGATCAACAGACCAGTGCCACTGATCAACAGACCAGTGCCACTGATCAACAGACCAGTGCCACTGATCAACAGACCAGTGCCACTGATCAACAGACCAGTGCCACTGATCAACAGACCAGTGCCACTGATCAACAGACCAGTGCCACTGTCCAACAGACCAGTGCCACTGTCCAACAGATCAGTGCCACTGATCAACAGACCAGTGCCACTGATAAACAGACCAGTGCCACTGATCAACAGACCAGTGCCACTGTCCAACAGACCAGTGCCACTGATCAACAGACCAGTGCCACTGATCAACAGACCAGTGCCACTGTCCAACAGACCAGTGCCACTGTCCAACAGACCAGTGCCACTGATCAACAGACCAGTGCCACTGATAAACAGACCAGTGCCACTGATCAACAGACCAGTGCCACTGTCCAACAGACCAGTGCCACTGATCAACAGACCAGTGCCACTGATCAACAGACCAGTGCCACTGATCAACAGACCAGTGCCACTGATCAACAGACCAGTGCCACTGATCAACAGATTAGTGCCACTGATCAACAGACCAGTGCCACTGATCAACAGACCAGTGCCACTGATAAACAGACCAGTGCCACTGATCAACAGACCAGTGCCACTGTCCAACAGACCAGTGCCACTGATAAACAGACCAGTGCCACTGTCCAACAGACCAGTGCCACTGATCAACAGACCAGTGCCACTGATCAACAGACCAGTGCCACTGATCAACAGACCAGTGCCACTGGCATGCATTCTCAACAAAATTCTGAAAAAAAACTCATAGAGGGTTAAGCACTTAGAAAAAAAATTAAGCCAAAATGAAAGTAAAACATATAAAATGAGTTGTATTAAGAATTATACAATCAGTTGACAATAATACAACAGGAGACATAAAAGAGGTAGATACACTGGTCCATACAAGCGGGCTTCCTGTGTACACTAATACACTCCCACATAAAAGACTTTTTACACCAACTTGAGAACAAATCTGATGTAAATGGAAGATTTCTAAGATGAGTGAAAGAATACCTCTCGAGTAGGACACAGCTGGTAACAGTGAGAGATGAGAAATGAGAATGGGAAAAGGTGTACTGTAGCATTAATCAGAAAAAAATGGCTGCTAGACTTCAACCGGACAAATGCAAGGAAATAAGGAGAGGAGGAAGATGGGGAGGAAACATACATATATATATATATTATATATATATATATATATATATATATATATATATATATATATATATATATATATATATATATATATATATATATATATATATATATATATATATATATATATATTAGTCTTGTGGTCCACGTGAACACAATAACCTCTTTAGTATATGCGAAATTGTCTAACGTAGCCATCTGATACGTCGAAAAATCTGACTTTAGATTATATGCAACCTACATAAGACCAACACTTGAATATGCAGCTTGGGCCTTGGAGTCCCCACCCAAGAAGCTGGATAAGGACTAATTAGGAAATAACACTGTACAACGTTCTGAGGATAACAGGTTCTGAGGGAAACTGGTAAACTGGACACTGTTTACAATGAGAAGGAGACCCCCAGGGAACACTGGGGGAGGCTGGAGACCAAGCTGTACCGTAGGGCCGTCTGAAAGCACTTCCTTACTGCAGGAGACGCGAGTATATGGACCAGTATATGGATCAGTTCATGGACCAGTATATGGACCAGTATATGGACCAGTATATGGACCAGTATATGGATCAGTTCATGGACCAGTTCATGGACCAGTATATGAATCAGTTCATGGACCAGTATATGGACCAGTGTATGGACCATTATATGGACCAGTATATGGACCAGTATATGGATCAGTTCATGGACCAGTATATGGACCAGTATATGGATCAGTTCATGGACCAGTTCATGGACCAGTATATGAATCAGTTCATGGACCAGTATATGGACCAGTGTATGGACCATTATATGGACCAGTATATGGACCAGTATATGGATCAGTTCATGGACCAGTATATGGATCAGTATATGGATCAGTTCATGGACCAGTATATGGACCAGTTCATGGACCAGTATATGGATCAGAATATGGACCAGTATATGGACCAGTATATGGACCAGTTCATGGACCAGTATATGGACCAGTATAAGGATCAGTTCATGGACCAGTATATGGATCAATTCATGGACCAGTATATGGACCAGTATATGGTTCAGACTCTCGGCAACCCCCAATCTGCCACACCGGATTGGGGGGTTGCCGAGAGCGAGCTCAATACTCAAGTTCATAGAGAAGTACATCGAGAAACAAAGAATAACTGATTATATTTATTAACCAGAAGGTACACAAAGGCGGGACTGTGGAGCTAATGTTCGATCTTGCTAGCACAACAAGGAGATATCATCGCTGTCACCTCTGCTATCTTCCTCGTGATACTGAGAAGAGTCGATAACCAGAGGAGTCATCAGTCTCAGGAGACTCCATAGTCTCCTGAGACTGATGGATAATCCGTCCTCTCAAAAGAACGTCGCTTTTCCCTCGTATTCGCGCTATGGCCAAAAACTGACATAATTTGAAATGAAATCGGCTCACGAAAGTGATGTACTGTCCCGTTTTCTGTTTGGGCCCTCCAGCTTAGTTAAGTTAGAAGAAACTTTCAATTAACGTTTTTCATGACGTTTTGAAACTTTAGGAGAATTTCCTGCCCTCCTAACCTACCAGAGGACCCTTAACTTTGGAAAAAAAAATCGCGAATTTATTTGTATTTTTCCTTTTCAAATTACGTCAATTTTCGGCCATACGAGTAAACGGCTAAATTTGTAATTAGACAGGTTGATCGTGCTACTACTACTACCTTCAACTCTACACCCGTCTACACTGTCATATAGACGGTGTTACACCCGTCATATTGCCCTCACCTTCACTATACAGGACTGGGCAGTACCTCACTATCCTCCCTCACCCCAGGCCGATCACCATTTCCAGCTCATCTCCTTTTATTTTCAACTTCCCTTCCAATAACGCCTTCCTGTGTCCACCCACACGCCATGGGGTTATGGGGGGAGGCGGATTGGAGGGGGTAAACAGGGGAGTTAAGGGGGTGGGGATTGGGGAGTTAAGGGGGTGGGGATTGGGGGTTTACAGGGGGTGGCGATTGGGGAATTAAGGGATGGGGATTGTGGGTTACTAGAGGTTGGGACTGGGGGGGGGGAGGTTTACAGGGGGTGGGGATTAGGAGGTTACGGGGATTGGGGACTATGTAAAAAAATGACACTTCGAACACTGTTTATGTAAGACGAAAATATGTGTATTCATGTCTGTAGGTTAGGTTATGTTAAAAGCACTACAATCACCTTCTGTGGTTGATAGTTCGATAAAGCATTAAACTGCATATTTAACAGATCTCTAAACCTGTCCACAGAGGACAGAAGCAAATGTGTACATGTTGGTTAGTATTGTAAATGTTCGGGCCACGTCTGTGGTAGAAAAAAAATAAAAAATTCCCGAAGGTCTCCATTTTACACTCGGGATTTGAAAATGGCGGGAGTTTGCAGTTGAAGCCTCTGCAGGCGACGCTACCCTCCCTCTCACCTCTATACTCGATGTCATACACAACACACACTTGCATCAATCACAATCGAGTAAGTAGCCAATGTAAAAAGATATATATATATATATGTGTGGAATATTACATAATAGGGCGGGTATTGAGTGCGCTATAGCGAGTGTGCCGGTGTAGCGGGGTTGGTTGATGTCATTGTCGCCTCATCTGTCAACCGAAGGCAGCTTACCAACCACAATATTTATCAATTTTACTCACTGCCTTCCGCGCCCTGTGTCTCCGAGCAATACATACGCTTCTGTATACATACGCAGCAGAAATATATGTATTCGCGGTTACAATCAAAAAACAAAAAACGAAAAATATTGCACAAAAAATATAAAATGCAAAAAATCGAAGATAGGTTGGCAGTCATGTTGCGGAGAGGTGCTGCCACCTGGCGGCCAGCCTCCGGTACTGACGGGAGGTGGAGAGGCGTCCACCTTTGGCTGGTGGATGATGCACGCCCACCACACGCCCACACGCCCACCAACACCCACACGCCCACCAACACCCACACCACACTCCACCAACACCCACAAATATATTAAGTTAATGCTATCCAACCGAGCACTTCCACCAGCCATCACTTAACCAACTATCTGGCCTACCTACCACCCTATTCTCACCATCACTAACCTGCATAATCACTATACTACCACCATCTCTCACGCTATAGTCACCACACACCCTCCACGAGTGTCCTGCTGGCAGAGCGGTCAGCATTCAAGAGTCGCAGCTCACTGACCCGGGATCGATTCCCCGCCAAGACAGAAACTGGCAGAGATTCTTTACCGTCATGCCTCTGTACATGTAACAGTAAATATATGTAAATCTGTACATGTAAACAGCCCCCTTTACTAACCATATACTTGTTACATTTTATCCTATTTACAACTTGTTGCTCCACGTAGCTGCTTCTCAATCACCAACAACTTCTCCACCCGATCTATTCCCCCCTCAGTATCTTGTAAGTTTTGATCATATCTCCTCAGTTGCTTCACTGGACGGAGAGCCCCCCCCCCCTCTTCCTCCTCACAATCCCAAACTAACTTGTACAGAAATGTAATACTGCAAGTAGTAATGCAAATGAACATAATTCAAATTCAATGTTAATTTAATTTATATAACCTTAATTGCCATATATATATATATATATATATATATATATATATATATATATATATATATATATATAATCAAAGTATTCAGTGAGGATCCACAAGGTCTTCTCTGAGTACTCTTTATTTTCTTTTCCGAGGCTATGGGTCCCTACACTTGCACCAAAAGGTGGTACCCCTTTTAGGTTTCATATACTATTATATTTTTCACTTTTTTCTTATGGAATGATGAAGCTTTCCATTACATTATAAGATTATTGTGTGTAATTTAAAACGTATAAATTTGACCCCAATTTCAAGCCAACCACACCGGGTGAGGGTCAGTAATAACCACACCGGGTGAGGGTCAGTAATAACCACACCGGGTGGGGGTCAGTAATAACCACACCGGGTGGGGGTCAGTAATAACCACACCGGGTGAGGGTCAGTAATAACCACACCGGGTGAGGGTCAGTAATAACCACACCGGGTGGGGGTCAGTAATAACCACACCGGGTGAGGGTCAGTAACAACCACACCGGGTGGGGGTCAGTAACAACCACACCGGGTGGGGGTCAGTAACAACCACACCGGGTGGGGGTCAGTAATAACCACACCGGGTGGGGGTCAGTAATTCATATTCTTAATATAACATTAGTAATTTCAACAAGCCAATTTGGAAAGAAATTTTTTAAAATATCGAAAAATCACTCGGCTTCTTAGGCAAATTGGGCCTTGCATACTATGCCAAGTGATGCAGTTCTGGATATTATATATATATATATATGATATATATATATATATATATATATGATATATACATCTTATATATATATATATATATATATATATATATGATATATATATATATATATATATGATATATACATCTTATATATATATATATATATATATATATATATATGATATATATATATATATATATATATATGATATATACATCTTATATATATATATATATATATATATATATATATATATATATGATATATACATCTTATATATATATATATATATATATATATATATATATATATATATGATATATACATCTTATATATATATATATATATATATATATA